AAGAGGGATCTGGCCAAATAAAAGAGTGAAACGATAAAGAACACCTAGTACACCCTGGCTTCCTTACATGTTGCTGTTGATTGTTTACTTTCCTGATTTCTGTCCCACCGGTGACATCATCAACGCTAACATAGCGTGATGGTGTTACCAGACACGCTGCAGCAGGGGGACAGAGGCCAGCGAGTGGTAAAACCGAAAGTTACATTGTAATTATGGTGCTGTGAATTCCTGGATGACTTCCAGTGGCAGTAAACATAGTGGAGGTGTCTCCTCCTGCTCTGCACAGGTCGAGATAGAATGTTAACAAAGTCGTGCACATGATACGTAGCCCTCCTGGGTGTGCTTCTATAAATAGCATGTCGAAGGCTACGCTCCGAGAAGTTCCGAGTGATCAGTGTGACTGGCAGTCATCCAGGAATTCACAGAACCATAGTCTCATTCCTTCCTGACTGCCAGTGGCAGTAAACAAAGCTGATGACTGATGCCAGCAATATCATGAGAAACACAGTACTCACCCACCTCCTTGGAGGTAGCGGAAACCAAAGGAAGGATCGTCGAAGCCAGGTTGGACTCATGTCCCACATCAATACAGTAGAAAAGTAAAAACGTGCATGGTGTTGCCCAAGACCCTGCTGTACAGATATCCCCCAGTGGCACACCTCTCATTGTCCAGGGCTTAGACACACTCCTGGTAGAATGGCCCATAACACCTGAGGGGGTAGCTGCCTCCACAGATTCCTAAGCCAGCTCAATAGCACTCACAACCCAATGCGACAGCCTTTGTTTTTATAGGGCCTTCCCCCTTTTCTGCCTACTGTGGCACATGAACAGCTATTCTGACCGGAAAATAGTCTCTGTAGTCATGATGTACAGCTGCAATGCCCAGACAGGGTACAGTGTGTTCGCCAATCTCTATTCATCCAACTGGAACGGGGGCAGGCAGTAGGCCGCCAGTTCAATTGCTGAGTTCATGTAGCCCAGGGGGCAGAACCTTGGGAAGAAAGGTGATGGTTGGCCATGTCACTCTGAAACCACCTGCCTTCTAACGGAGGCAAGTTGGGCAGATGGCCCAAAAACCTCAGTGGGGCATCACACGTTGCCTCAAAGGGCAGCCCACTCAGGGCCCTCAATAACGGTGGGAGGTCCCAGGCTACTGCCAGCCTCCGTAAAAGGGGCACAGCCTCTTTGCACCCTGGAGTACCTGGGACACTATCCTGTGTGACCCGATCCATCCACTTTCAGTGCCGTTGTGCCTGGCTAAATTGCCTGCCAACTGCACCTTAAGGGTTGATGCCAGCCGTCCAGCCTTTAATAGGCCCTGCAGGTATCTGGGGTTGCAGATGCCACCGGCACCCTTCAGCAGCCACACTGTGTGGAGAAGATGCCGTGGAGATGGATGCCAAATCTGCCCCCAACTGGGAAACCAGTTCTGCTCTTACTGGTAGCCAACACGACCCTCCGTCCAGCAGTGGAAACCAGACCCTCATGGGCCACTTGGGGTCCACTAAGAGGACCCTCAGGGTTGACAATCTCACCCGATGGTGAGTGGGCAGAAGCAGCGGAAAGGGGGCAAATTCTTACAGCAGCTCGGCCGGCCATGCGTTTCCAAGGGCATCCATTCACAGTGGGATGTTGGCCTTTGCGAGGGAGAACCACAAGGGACAATGCACACTGCTTCTTGAAGCAAAAAGATCAACTTCGGCCCTGTCAAAGCCATCCCATATCTGCTGCAGCACCTCAGGATGCAATCTCCATTCCCCTGGGGGAAGCCTGTGGCAGAATACATAATGTGCCACTGAGTTTCTAGTCCCCTGTAGGTGCATAGCTCTGATCAATGCAAAGTGAGGGTATGACCAGGTCCATAGCCTCTGAGCCTCCCTTAGGCACTGCAGTGATTTGGTCCTACCCTGGTGGTTGATATCGATCACTGCAGAGGTGCTGTTGGTCCTGATGAGCACATACTTTCCCCTAACAGAGGGAAATAAGTTCTTCAGCACCAGATAGAATCCATTGATGGGTGAATGTCCCTCCTGGGGTCTTTATAACCCTTGCACTGCCACATTGCTCCCCATCCAAGTGGTGATGCAGCAGTAGTCTTGCGGGACCCACATAAAGGGGGACTCCGAGCTGCAGATACGCTCTGTCTCGCCAACGACGGAGAAGCACTGCACAGTCAGGACTCATCTGCACCCTGTTCTGCCGGTGCTACCGGGGTCCATATGGAGCCTGTTGAGATTAATCAATATCTCACAGCTCTGTCACTGTGCATTCGGAAGTCCTTCATCTATGGACACTGCAATATTTTGATATGGCTGGAGCCAGTGAAGTCTACTCATGTGAAAACGTGTATGAGATAATGATGTTATGTACAGTAATGATGTGGCATTATACATCAGGAAATATATTAAATGCTTCTTTAACTGATATTCTGAGCCGACAATTTCGATTGAATTCTTTTGTCATGTCTTACAGTAATTTAATAGATAAACCATTTAAAGTGTTAATGAAAGGGTTTCTTTCAAGTTCCAGTCTCTCATCTGGAAAGAATAGGGGAGAAAAAGCTTAAAGGTTTAAGCATAGAGCCTTCCTTTAAAAACCATTTACTTTCCTCGTGAGGGTACACATGAGTTTGACTTGTGTGTCTGGTCATTTAGATTCTGTGCATTTATTTTAATACAGTGTGTTGGTCCCATTTTACATGCGTTATGCTCCAAAACAAACACAAAATCTCAGTGGTGGCATACACATTGAGAGACAAGCCGACTCCATAATTTTCTCTGGCCCCCTTCCTGATCGGACCCCATGATGACATGTTTGGTTGCATGTCTTCAACAGAACTGCTGGTTGTCTAGGTGGTGTTCAAAAAACAGTGTGAGCTACGTTGATAAATTAAAGACTTTTGGGGAAAAACCTGGTCAGAGGAACTGCTTCCATCACACTTCAGATGGTTCAGCTCCTCTATCTAGGAATCTCTCCAAATTTACTATTCCTCCCAGTAATTTTTTAGGAGGACTAAGAAATTTGGTACCTTTTACCACATCCAGACAGTGTCTCGCCCATAACATCATAATAATATAATTAAAATTGGCATAACTCTAATTTAGTTAAAGTTAACATAATTAAATGTTGTTTATTGAACATAATATCTCTCTCTTCAAATAGTTAGTTTGAGAATTACTTGATTTGTGATGATCAAATTGATTTAAGTTGTCTTACAGAAGCCTTGGTTCAACAAGATAATCATGTTAGCATTAATAAGGCACTTCCCTCCATCTATTTAAAATTTTACCTGTCCAGAAAGTCTGGGCGAGGAGTAGAGAGTACCAACAATCATTCAGTCTGATTTATTGATTAGTCCAAAGTAACCTAATGGTTATAATTCCATTGAACATTTAACCCTTTGTTACCCAATCTAAGTTAAAACAACAAAACCATGTTACATAAATAAACTGAAATTTCTTTTATTTAGGATTATCTTCAATTCTTAGATTTTTCCCCTTATCAAATTTTCTTCTTAGAAATTTCCCATTGCATATTCCATGTTCTACAATGCTGTGATTGACTGGTGGCATGTCCAGGGTATACCTCACCTCTCACCCTATTACCTATGCACATTATGGGAAAAAACGAGGATAGATGGATGGACAGACGGACAGATGGACGGACGGATGGATGACAGTTGTATCTTAATATTTCATAGCTGAATCAAGGTTTAGTAAATATAAAACTTATACAGAAATGTACACATGGCCCTTATTTCAGTCATGTGCTGTGGGTCCCAGAGCAAAACCCCTAACCCTAGATTGCTCCCTGTGTACTACCCAGTGTGGCATACACTTATCCCTAAGGGATGGGTTAAGTGCATAGAACAAATTCCCCCATGAGCCTATAAAGGGATGATTATTTTCTTGCGAATTGTTTGTCTTAAAATTATGGTATTTTTAAACTTAAGTCTGTAGTGCCATCTGCTGCTCCTTTACATGAAATACACTCTAAAGAGGAACAGGGTTAAGTGTTATGCTAACACCTTTACTAATAAACTTTTAAATGTTAATTCAAACCATGAGTTTAGTAACAATTTATGATCACTTAATAAACATTTTGCAATACTGTGTTGCAGTGAAACACTTGGATGCATCACTACTTTGCCATGCTTTTGTTTTGTTGGGGGATTTCTTTGTTTCGAATGTTGCTTTAAGTCAAACACTAGGGAGGGCATTTAAAGCTTAAATTTTTCAATTTTTGTTTTCATTTAAAGCATATCTTAATTAGAGAGACACAGTTGTGGACTATAACCATCTAACATTCCCTGCTGTAGATTTCTCCTCACCTCAACACACATTTGAATAGGAAACATTTTGGCAGGGAATGCGGAATTAAGGTCAGTTCTGACTTAAGCAGAAAACATCTAAATTAACTTTGTCTTTATCCAAATTTGGCACAAATCAAACTACAAACTATAACTACAGAAATTAATTGTACATATATAAAATGCAATATATTATAATTTAACTTCACTTTAAGAGATACCTCCCATTTTCACAAGCCCATCCAGACTTACTAGTATACTGTAAGCATATTCAGCACTAAACATTAACAGTAGCTGATGAGGTTCAACTCAAGGTCAAATTCAATAATATGTTTTTTAAACAAAGACATTGACTGGTGGCCCCTCTAGATTAGCAGATTTCTAGCATTTTCCGTGCTCTTTGTCTATTCTATGTGTATTTTTGGGGGTTTAATGAATGGAAGCAAGAGCATTAGATAAGTTGGTTGATTTGGTTTATATCTAGAATGTGAAAGTTTGAATAATATAAATATAATGCAATGTTAAGCTTTTTTTTTTTCATTCCATATTACAGACAGCACTTGAATGCAGCTTCTCTAATCCTCACTAATCTGAATGATGCATCGTTACATAAGACCCGACATCTGTGGACAGAAACTAGCTTTTCTACTAAAAAGAAATTCCTGAATGCCGTGCTTTTTTCTGAGACAGGATGACCATTACAACTTTTCAGAAGGTTACCCTAATTTCATGCTCTGTTCTTTGTGTGTCTCTCTTCCTCCCCAGGATTCTTTTACCTAGAGCGAAAAATGAGAGGGGGCAGTCTGAGGGTAAGGCCGTTTATCAGGTTATCGTCCATCAACATCCATCCTGCTCTATCTTAAGTCTTTCTGTTGTGTTTTTTCAAATCATACTATAGAGTGTTTTTTTCCATTTAAAAATCCTTTATACTGTAGATGTTTTTGCTGTAGATGTTTTTGCTGTAGATGTTTGTACTGTAGATTTTACTGTAGATGTTTTTGCCAATATTATGTCTGACAACATAATATTGGCAAAAAAAGATCTAAAAAAGTGAAAATTTATGCCTTGATCCAAAGAAATAAAAGAACAAAGGAACAAATTAATCTATACAGAAAGGATTCAAAGTCAACTTTAAATCTTTTGGTCTCTATTGGGTCACAGTAGGAGCTTTGATCTAAACAAGGAGAAACATATAAAACCGTGTTAAACCCCCCAAAATCAATCTCTTAAAATAAAATGAAAAGTAAAGACTGCCTTAGCTAAGGTTCATGATTCAATATTAAGAAATAGTAGGAGATAGATATGGGCTCTACATATACATATATAAGGTATATTCTGGAGACAGGTAGTCAGATTGACTAGAAAAGAGTTATATAAATTAGTCCACTTAATTAATATATGCAGCGGTAAAATAATCAGCGGTCACTGAAAAAAATCAAAAAGTGATTCTGAAAAACTCTTAAATAAATAAGTCATTTTAAATTGCAGTCTTTATTTTGATGTTATTTCAAGTCAGAGAACCGATCAAGATTCTCCTTGTTAGTTTTAAGCTAAAGATAAAAGTGTGAGTGTAGGTTTTAATAAAACTATCTAATTTGAGGTTCTAATGTATATTTAATTAACAAATAAACGTATTTTCTGTCTTTTCAGACGAATGTTTCAATAAATCTGAGCATATAATAAAAGTGACTCCCTATGAGAAGAATCACATTTATTTATTTTTTTTTTTATGTCAACTTCAATCACATAAGATAAAGAATAAATTTGATGCCCAAACATCTATAAAATCAAGAAAACGTCATCTGAACTATAGATCAAAGAGCTTGAAATAGAGCACGGAATGTAGTAGGGCATAATTCAGTTTTCCCAAACAATATTACTCACGAAGGTTGTTCAGTGATAATTAAATTATAGAGAATTGTAGAGAATTATAGAGAATTACAATTAAGGTATTGCTATGCTGAAAATCAAAAAACAAGCCAAGTTTTCTAATAACTTCCAACAAATTACAAATTAAGTCACCTCCTTATTGCAAACAATGAGGACGATCTTCTTTAAGACATACTCATCCAATTTTTAAAGCATATGTTTGCTTCATCTGTTACTGATGACCATCTCCGCAGTCCTAACATGGCCACAGTTATCTAAGGTTAAAGGAAAAAGGGCAGATCTGTTTATCGATCAAAAACTTTGTAAATACATGAACCACTTATATAATACAAGAGGGACATTTTCAACCAGATATGATGGGATCAAATTTAACAAAGTGTGGTGTTAAGTTTTTGTTTGGGGATTAAGGGTATTTCTTTATTGACATTGCTGCATTATGAAGAGCATTTTCAAAACAAAAAAAAATGTTATGAAAGTAGCTAATTCCTTAATTAGTTAGTTTTTATTCATGAATTAGTACTTCATACCAAAACATCATAATGATGATGATGTCATTGCCCTAATGTGTTTGTGCTTATGTTGATATTTCCTACATGATTATGGAGTTTTTAAGGTTAATAAAAAAGAGGAAGAAAGTGCCTAGAGCAGAGGAAAACAATATAAGCTTCCATTGAATATCAATACCTACCTATTCTTTCTTCTTGATTCATGTCCTTCATCAGTAATTTGCCACGGGGTGGGATACACCCTATAAAAGCTCCTACACAATCAAATATCAACTCAAAGACAGACACACAACCACACCTAAAAGCAATTAACCGGGACCAATTGGCCTCATTAACGTTACACACAGTGATAAAAAGTATTGAACAAATAGAAATATGGCAGTTCTTATTAAAGACTTTAGACTTAGATATTTGATGAATAACTTTAAGCAGTAATTGAGTAGCTGTCTTTTATCTTCTGCAGTTGGACCTGGGTTTTACCCTTCAAGGCGGCACCAATTATCAGTTTCTGATGACCCAGAGCTGTGGGAACTGGATCCTTCTCGCTCCCTCACACACAGTCTTGAAGCCATGGCTAAAGTGAAAAGCATTGGGCGGGGCAAGAAATACAACCTAATGGCTCAAGTCATACCCATATATGGTTTTGGGATTCTGCTTTACATCTTTTATATAATGTATAAGGTAATCACTACAACACTAGAAGTATTTATCCAGAGTTATACTCAGTTAAACTTCATGTCTGTGATGTCAGCGGTTATAACATCAATACAAATAAAATAAAATAATAATAAAATAAAATATCACTTTACTGGATACTGCTCTACTGAAGTAAACCTAACTTTCTCTTTTCCTCAGCTAACCTGTAAGGGAAGGATCAATAAATCTCAAAACTATTCTACAGAGAGGACAATAAACAAGTCAAATACAAATGGTAAGTTCATTTAGACAAATAAGGGGTGCTAAATTTCATGTGCAGTTTTTGTACAATAAGGGGTTGTGTTGCAGGTAATTAATAAAGATTGCTGCAAAAATGTTAAGATGTACAAACCTTCTGAAGATCAAGTTCATGGTGTTTATTAACACTAAGTTTATTTTATACCTTTTTTTTCAACATTTTGATTGTATAGATTCAATGTGGGAGACAATTCAAATGTTTAAAAACAAAAAGCAACTGTTAAGCAAGCTGCAACACATAAGAGCACAAGCCTAAAGCCAGACTCCCTCTAACCATGTCAGCAGTAAACAGTGATTTTGAAATCTTTTTAATCTACTAACATTGTTTGAACATTAGTTTTTTGTTTTTTTTTACTTTCACAGTTTATTTGACACCATGATTTTTATTAATTGTTTTAGCCACTGAACATGAACTTGCTAGGCTTCAGGAGAAACTTTTGCAAACAGAGATGATGTTAGAGAGAATTGTCTCAGGCAGAACTCATCATTCTTCAAGGTAAGAAAGACCCCACAATTGCCGATTCCATGTACATATGTCTGTCTTGATTTTAATTGAAAATTATGAATTTGAACCAACAATATCAAGTTATTGTTGTCATTCCGTCTCTATTCTTGTAGCCTGGCCAGCCAGACTGACTTACACCATATATAGGTATATTAATCTGGAAGGAAGCTGGTGGATCCAGGCAGGACAGGGCAGGACTTTATTCCCCAGGTGCACAGTATTTATATTGTTAAAACACTTTACAGTGCAGTATTTTATTTGTTTATTTTTTAACTCTTCACTATTATGTTATTCTTATAAACATATGTGTGACCATTTTTTCTATCATCTTTTTCCCATCAGAATTTCCCCATTGTTGGACAATAAAGGATTTTCAGTTCTATTCTATTCTAATAGTCAGTGGAAACAGGATAAGACTAATCACATAAAGAAGTGATGCAAAAATGTCATTTTGAAAAAGAAAAGTTTTTACAAAAGCCTGCTGTTAAAATGTTAAATGTATATTCAGTTCATTCAGGACATAATAAAGGGCATCATTAAAACATCACTCAGTTATGGCTGCAATCTTCACTTCAACGATTACAAAAAATAGCTGATGAATTACTAGACTCACTTAAGCCCCATGTAGGTCAGTCTGGCTGGGCAGGCTTCCGTTCTTGGGTCAATTTTTTCTCCTGCATGTTTTAGATGTTTCCCAGCTTTCACACACCTGCTATCAATTAATAGCAGATTATCAGGCTTTGCTGAACTGCAATCATCTGAATCAGGTGTGCTGAAGCTCAGAAACATCCAAAACATGCAGAGCAGTGTGCCTTGAGGACCAGGGTCGAAAAACACTGATCTAATGAAACATCTATAATGAAACTGTCATGGTTTTGGTTCTGTTAAAGTTTTCTTTTTGAGTTTTCATTAGTTTCATTTCCATTTTGTGTTATTCTAGTTGTTTCTGGTTGTATTTGAGTGTATACGTATTTCTTGTTTACCCTTTGTTGCCCCCCTGTGTAAGCCTCCTTCCCCTAGCTCCATTCTAGTTGCTTCCATCAACAATTGCTCCTTGTCAGCTCATAAGCCCCGTCTTTGATCAGTGTCCCATTTATACCCCTCTTATGCAGTTTCTCAGTGCTCGTTCCTCGTTGTCCTCATGTGTGTTTTCCCTGACATCTCCTGTTTTTTGGTTTTGCTGTATTTTGTTTTTGGACTTAACCTTCTGTTACATTTGGATCTACATTAATTCACCAAAAGCTCATCTCTGCCTCCTACCATCTCTGCATTTTGGCCCTCTTTAAACCTCCAATCAAAAACAATACAAATTTTCCTATGTCTGCTCCACATTTGATGCAGTAAGTGTAAGGGTGCCTAAAATCTTGTTTTTTTCTGTAATTTACAATATTTGAAGTCATCACCAGGACTATACTTTATGAAGCTTAAGCGCAGAGAGGATGCAAAATACATAGCTGTTGTTATAGAAAGAGACTTAAACTTTAGCTTTACAGAAAAAGTCAAATACCAACTTTAAACATAGCCATTATTCTATCCAGTAGAGTGGAGTGTTTTGGCTTTTTGGCACCTGCAATGCATTCTGGATATTCTAGCAAGATCCTTATTAGTCCTCCTCTTCTACTTTGTTTGCAGGAGATCACACATTTGCCATTATGCTTAATGAAATAGAAGGTTTGAACTTCCTCCTTCACATTACCCCTGTTCTGCAATCCAAAATATCTCCTCTTTAGCTCAATGTGAATTTCAGGTGTAGGTTAGAGTAATAGTTCAGCATTAGAAAAGTTCCACTTGTGAATAACTGCCCCATAGAACTGTTAGATATTATATGTGGTCACCATTAAAAAAGAAACAGCAAAAATCCAGGAATGAAAAAAATGAAGAAATAAATATATTTGGAAATAATATAACAATATATGAATAATAATAACATTTGGAGAAAATGCATAATGACATGTTAGAATAATAATAAGAATATGCAATGTTTACAGTTATATCTCTGAAATTATTGTGTTAACTTGTGCTGCTTTATAGTGGCAGAAGGCGGAAGAGTAAAACTTCAGTATCAAAGAAGGAGGAAAAACTCCTGAGGCAACTGCGACAAATCACACTACTGATCGAAGAGGGTCGCCTTGAGGGAGTCTCTCCTGAGATGGAGGCAGAGGAGGTCCCCTACAGTGCAGATTGGGAAGGTATATTCTTAAATTTAACTCCTCCACCCACAGCAATAACTTTGTTCGAGCAGCAGGGTCAGCCTCTGGTGAAACCCTAATAAAAACCATATTTTTATTTTCTATTTAAATTTGACTATTTACTATGTCTTATTAAAACAGGGTATCCCGAGGAGACTTTCCCAGTGTATGTTGACCCTTGTGATAGACATAAGTATGAGACCATCAAGCTGGAGGATTACCCCTGCCAGCCCACTGCTGAAGCCCTTGCAGAGAGCATGGTGCAGGAAGATGAAGAGATCCTGGCCAGGAAACTCTCCATTGTGCATGAAGAAGATGAGGAGGAACCAGAAAATGAAGATAAAAAACATAATTTACATAAAGAAGAGGAGGATGATGAAGAAACTGAGGAATTAGAGGAAGAAGTGGAGATAACAGAAGAAGACAACAAGCATGAATATGTGCAGGAGGAGGATGAGGAACAAGAGGAAGCTGAGAAAAAACGATTGCTCGGTCCTGCTACTTCTGTCTTTGGGAGAAAGCAGGAAAAAATTGGTTTTGAGGTGATGAAAGAGCTGAACCTCAACAGTAGAGGAAAGAAGCAAATAACCTTCAGCAACAAGAAACATGTGTTCCACTACCCCAAAGAGGATACCTACGAGGAATACGAAACAGAAGATGGGATGGAGCAGGAGGATGAGGAGGGGACAGACGCAGAAGAGGAAACTGATGATGATGATGATGATGATCCTCTGATGGAGGCAGAAAGTTTGCAGTTTAGTTGCGAAGGCTCTTCAAATTTAGAAGAACAAGCTGAGGAAGTCAACGAAGAGTATTTGCTTACTTTATCACTAGTGAAAGATGAAGCTAAGATACATGCCGACGGCTCCAAAGATGTTGGACGGAATGGCCTGAGGATGCGAAACCGAAGAGAAAGATAAAATTTTACAGCAAAATCATTCAATGAATTAACAGGTATAATGCACATGTAAAGTTCAAACCAGTACTTAATTAAGAAATTATGTAATTTCAAAAATAAAAACTGTCTTCTCATGATATTGTAATTTTTTGGTGTAGTTTACCTTTTCTCTGGTATACTCCCAGTAAATTGTCTGTTCAGGGTTCATCCCATCTAATGTTCAATGACAACTGGATAGATTCCAGCTCCACTATGGCCGTACTACCACACAGGGGTATAAATACAAAATGGATAGATAATCTAGATAAGGTTGGACACATTTGCAGTAATCATGATCAAATTCATTTAATTTGTAAACTCATGAAATTAATGTGAATAAAGAAGTTTCATAAAGAGGAAGGTGTTTTTTTAACATATTTTTCTGATGGATCTAAATAAACATTGGTGGATTTGTTTATAGTTGTTTACATATCACACATTTAGTAAATAGTCAAACTTATCTGTAATGTGTGTAAAATCTTATTTAAAAAAGTATTTTTGCATTTTACTGATACAAGAAATAATGTGTACCATACAAAACTTTTATTTCAAAGTACAAAGTTCAACCTTTATTGAATTATCAATTATCACTTACTTATTTGTTCCTACCACAGCCTGTGCCCACCACCTTACTTTTATCTTTAGCAACAACAAAAAAGCTTTAACCTCTCCCTGGCACACATATGTATTGCCACCATTCTGTAACAAAGTCAACCTGCCTTAATGGTTAGCGACTATAAAGGCGCTCTATTCTGTGGTAAATGACATCAGCCAAAATGGAGAAATAAGAAGAAGAAAAAAACTCCAACCAAGATGCAACAACCTGCTGCTAAGTTATTCAGTGAAAAGCTTAATAAAAGGACATCGCTCACTACATTCTACAGAATTTAAAGCCAGCACCCTGATAACATACAAACATATACCAAATTATTTGCTGGAGCTTTCACTGGACTGTTTGGTTATAAAAAAAATTAAATAAAAAAAGGGATATTTGGCTCCCTCTTGTGGTTCTGTTTGGTTTAGTTTAGCAGTTTGGATTATACTGTGACATTATGGGTAATGCTCTAAAAGCATTACAGATTATTCCAAATCCTCCTCTGCAGGGAAAAGATATCAAAAGCATTTTCTGGTAAGAGCCATTACCAAAGTAAATGGCCATCATTTTGTCAGAAAATACATGCATCATTATTTGGTTTTTAAATAATATTCAACCTAATTCTCAAAATGGAGAGTGTTTAGAAATACCAGAAGAAATTTGATAACATTCTTTATTTCTGGAAATGTTTATTTTTGCTATTATATATTTCATTTTGTATCATTACTTGTTTATGTGTACAAAGGCATGTTCATTGTGCCTTGTTTTAATCTGTAAATGTCCATCACAGATTAAAATCAGGCAGCTTCATCCCCCACGAGCTTCATACTGAGCCAAATTATTTCAAGTCCAGTAAAGAGCTTGACTTGAGGTGAAGAAACGTTAGTCTTTGGGTGATTCTTTTGTTTTGTTTAACTAACCTTATTTATTTATTTGATCAGGGACAATGTACAGAAACATTAAACTATCATAGATTAAAGATGTACTGCACAGTATTCTAGATTCTCAGCAGGTTTTTTCATTTGCAGCATCTGCGGCACATTGGAAAGGTGAGAAAGCTCAAGATAAATTAAATATCCAGATAAAAATATATCTCATGCAAAATAAATGATAACATAATTGGCTAATTAAAATCTGTCCCTTTTGTCTCCAGTTTTTTTTTTT